ACTATATAGGTAGGTACCTTGTTATTAACTTAATTAGGGTACTCCTAAGGCTAAGGAAGAGCCACACTCAAGGGGCCAAAGAGCTGCATGTGGCTCGCGAGCCACAGTTTGCCGACCACTGCCCTAGAGGCTTAATCAACTAAAGGCTCCAAACGGAAACAGGCCAGTCCCTGGCCAGGGCAGCGGGACGGTGTGGGGCTCTCGGCTAGTTTCTGTGTCAGCTATCGGAGGTGCTAAGTCAAGCACAGTGCACCCAACGGGCAGACATTCTCCTGAGCGGGGCTCTGAGTTGCTCTGAGCGCCTGCAAGAACCCTGGTCAGGCTGGAGGCAGCTGCTCCGCTCCCTGGCACACAGGGTGGCACCGGGCATCGCGCGGCCCTGCTCCTTTTGGGGAGGAGGGGCCGATGTCGGGGAGGGGACTGCAGCAGCAGAGGCGGCAGAGGCTGCAGGACTCAGGTCAGCTTCCCCAGCTGCGCTGCAGTTTTTAACCCTTCCCAGGCCTGGCTGCTCTGGGAAGCGGCCAGTGGGTGGCAGGCAGCTCCTGCTGCATGGGGTTGGGGGCGGGGCTGGGGGCGGGGAGAGGAGAGGCCAAGCCGAGCTCTGCCTGCGCTGGTGTGCTGGGAGCCAGCCAGGCACAGGGTCCTGTGGGAGGACTCAGGTGGGGGGCTGAGCCCAGCATTTAGCTTTATTCAGGCAGCAAAAAGATACATTTTCCTTGGCTTCTGTGAATGCTGCCAAGAAGGCACCACCTTCCCCAGACCACTGAGGGTCCAGACCGACCGCTCCCGTTCACAATTAGGAGAAAGTGGCTCCAAGTCTACAGCAGGGCTCTCCCGAGGGCCCCCAAACCGATGCAAACTACTGCATTTGCATTAGGCTGCAGGGTCCAGACGTCCACGGCAGCTAGAAGCTACCCCACACCCCGACCCGTCCTAAACATTAAGAAATGGTCCCATTGAACTGGTCTAAATGTTCTTTCTTTTTTTTTTTTTTTAAATCTAAGGGAAGAGGATTTGAGGCCAAGCCCCAAATAGACAGAATAGGAGAGGAAATCAAAGAGATGGTGACAGCGGGAAGATGGCTCAGGGAGGGGGAAGAAGGAAAAGTACCACACATGCACATTCGAGAAAAAGCCAAAGTCTAAACGGAAGGTTCAGAGGCCAAATGGAGACACTTCTGCATTGCCTTAAAAAAGACACTTGCCCTCGCTGGTTTGGTTTAGTGGATAGAGCGTTGGCCTGAGGACCAAAGGGTCCCAGGTTCAATTCCGGTCAAGGGCATGTACCTCAGTTGCAGGTTCCTCCTCGCCCCGGCCCTGGTTGGGGTTCGTGCAGGAGGCAACCAATCGATGTGTTTCTCTCACACCGATGTTTCTCTGTCCTTCCCTCTCTTCCACTCTCCCTAAAAATCACTAGGAAAATATCTTTGGGTGAGGATTAACCCCTCAAATACATATAAAAAACTTGGGCCCTGGCTAGTGTTGCTTAGTGGTTAGAGCATCAGCCCTTGGACCAAAGGGTCTCGGGTTCAGTTCCTGTCAAGGGCACATACCTGGGTTGTGGGTTCGCTCCCCACCCCCAGTTGGGGCACATGAGGGAGGCAACCAGTCGATGGGGCTCTCACATGGATGTTTCTCCCTCTCCCCCTAGTACCCCCCCTGCCCCTCCCTTTCACTCTCTCTGAAAGAGCAATGGAAAAAGTACCCTCAGGTGAGGATTAACAAAAAAGACTCAGGCTGCTGGGTTCGAACTGCCCCGGCCCGGCCCACGGGCCCTGCTCTACCCTCTTCCCCTGGCTCCGAAGGGGAAAGAAGCCCGGCTGATCCCCCAGATCCTGCCACCTGAGGAAGCTGCTGGGGAAAGTGAGAAGGGAGGATGGGTTCTGGTTACCAAGGCCAGGCAATGCCCGGGGGGGGGGGGGGGGGGAGACTGGAGAAGAGAACAGAGCGGCAGCCTGGGGAAGAGGCCGCCATGCCACCTGCTTCCATCCTCTCCCCTGGCCTGGATGGGAAAGCTAGCCCGACCCCTCGCACCACTCCCCACTCCGCAGGAAGCCAAATCCCCCCTCTCTGGGAAGTGCTGTCAGGGGCTGGGGCTGGGGCTGGGGCAGGTTATAGAAGTGAAGGCCGGCGTCCGCCACTCCCCACCACAGAGGAGGCACTGCCACCCTGCTCCGGGGTTGCTGCAAATAGGCGTGGCTCTGCCTGGTGGCTGTCAGGCCGCTCCCTCCAGGCCAGGAGACCTCCCCTGCCGGGTGCAGGAAGGGTCCCAGGTCAGAGCTCCGGACCACGAGGCCTGGCTGCTGCCCAGAAAACTGATCCGATCACCTGAGAAGTGACCATCGCTGGGGGGACCGTTCTGGGGGCTGCTTCCCTTCCCAGAACTGAAGATTTTAAGCTTTTACCAAAATTGCCTCCAAAATAACCCAGCTGGTCGCTGCTTCCTTATTCCTCATCTTGGGCTCCAGCAAGAGGCTGGACAAGAAAAAAACCGTGGGGCGGGGGAGGGAAGCGGGTATTGCATCGCTGCCTGGCCCAGCCCCCAGGCAGGGCCGGAGGGCAGCGTTAGATGAGATCAGAAACCAAGGCCAGGGCCCCTCACCCGGCCGAGGAGGAGCCAGGCCAAGGAGGAGCCACCGCTCTCAGGCCAAAGTCCGCCCCAGGCCAGCTTGGTGACCGTCCCACCCAAACCTTGCTGATTACAAAGGGAAAGAGAAACTCTTGGGGCCAAAGCTTGGGAGGTGGGGGGCCTCTTGGCACCTGCCAGGGCTTCCACGCCCCTTCGGCAGGTTCTGCTGGGAAAGTGGGGAGTAGCCACAGGAGCCGTCCAGCCTGTGTCAGCAACTGTGAGATCTGATACAGCCGGCCTCCGGCCTGGCCGGGGAGGTCTGCCTGGGGCGAGGCTGAGCCCGGGGAGGCTGGGTGCTGGGGGCGGCAGGGAGCGGGAAGAACCAGCCCGCTGGCTCTCCGGGCCCAGCTGTGTGAATGAACAGAAGCGCCCGGGGGGGCCGCGGGCGGAGGTAGGGGCGCCTCTGCAGGTCCCCCCGCCCGCGGGCTCCAGGAACGGGCGACGCCGCACTGCACTGCGCTGCCATTGGGTACCAGCGAGGGGTGCGGAGCTGGAGCCGAGAAACCAGCCTCCTGCGGGGACACGCAGCTCCCCTGGTCTGCAAGGGGCGGCGAGCGAGGGGCGAGGTCCCTGGCTCCCGAAGCTGGTTCACGTGATGCACCTTCAACTCTGACCCCTCCCCCCACTCCATGTGGCTTCAGTGCGCAATGGGGACCGTCGCCAGCCCCCACTTCCTGGGGAGGGGCTCCGCGATCCCCCCTCCCCACCGACGGTGCAGCCCACTCCCCACCCAGACCCAATCGCCTTTGTCCCAGCTTTTCCCGGGAGACTTCCGGGAGCCGCCACATCTGCCTGCAAACCCAGACCCACCTTGGCCGTCATGCATCTCCTCCCCCCGCCCCCCGCCCTCACGTGGAAAGCTCCGACTCCTGGGACCCAAGCCCAACGCCTCCCCCCCCCCCCGCCACCCCCCTTCCCGGATCAACAGCCTCGACCCACTAGTAACCCCAGAACCCTTTCTGGCCGCCCCCCGCCGCCCCAGCCCTGCAAGCAGGTCTTGCCATCACCCCCCTTTAACCACCCCCCTCCCCCCAACCGCAATCCCTTTCGGTCCCCGCGGGCCCAAGAGCATCTTTCAGCCTCCACTGCCACCCGCCCCCGGCCCTGCCTCCCTAAGCTGTACCCCCTCCTCCATCCTCCGCAAGGCCGGTCCTCGGAGAACCCCCACTCCGTCCTCCAGGGTTTGATCTGCTGAAGTCACCCCCATCCCCACCCAGGCCCGGCTTTCCCCCCGCGCCTTCTGGGGGAGCTCCCCAGGCGCCCAGCCTCTCCCTGCACCCTCTCCGGGCCCCCCTAACCTCCTTCCCGGACAGTGATTCTCATCGCGACCCCCTGGGGTCCAACACCCCCATCTCAGAGGCCGAACGCCTCATCCTGGGCTCAAAAGCCCTTTGGGGGGTCCAAACGGTCCATCCGGGGTTCAAATGCTCCGACGGGGGGCTCAGGTGCCCATCTTGGGGTCTCGACAACCCCAACATACCGCTCTGGGTTCCAGCGCCCCCGATGGGGAGGCATAAAGCGGATCGGAGGCGACCCCCATTCCAGGTCCAGTCGCCCTCCTCGGGGGTCCTGCTCCGCGGGGGTCGCCTCAGAGCCCCCTGCCTGCGCAGCGCCCTCTCCTCACTCACCATGGCGAGGCCGGGGTGTCCGGAGCGCGGGGATCAAGGTTCCTCCGGCGGCGGCGGCAGCTGCAGCAGCTCGAGCTCCACCGCGCGTCCGCGCCTCCACACTCACTGCCCGCAGCGCGCGCCGCCGCCCGCCCCAACGGTCCCCCAACGGCCGCCGCGCGCGCCCCGCCTCGCCCGGCCCCGCCCCGCCCGGCCCACGTGCTGCCGCACTGCGACTCCCGCAGATCCCTCCGCGCCCCGCTCCGCTCCGCGCCGCGGGTCCCCGCGAATCTCCCGCTTCTGCCCCTCACAGGCCCGGGTTTGCCACCAGACGCGCGCGCGCGCGCACCCGCCGGGGGACTACTTTCCGTCGCCGCGCGCCCCGCCCCCTGTTCCCCTCCCCAATGCTTCCCGGCGGAGGGGCACGGTGGGCTGCGCGTTCGGCGTCCCTGTGAGAGCCGCGCCGCTATTGGGCCCGGGAAACGGCGGAAATGAGAGCGTAGCGGCGATTGGTCCGACCTTCCCTGCAATGCGTCAAATTGGGAAGAGCCACTGCGTGGTGGCGGGGGGGGATGGAACCTGCAATGTGTGGCCGTGTGGAGCGGGTGAGGCGGAGCGAGGTGAAGGGAGAAGCTGCGTGGCTGCTAGGGAGGCAAATACATCGTCTTTGTGGCTAGAGTGGTAAACTACTGGTGGAAGGTGCTGGTACCTTCTCGGATCCCCCCTCTAGCAGGTGGGAGATGGTGCAATCCAAAATGCTGTGGCCTTAAACCCCGCCCCCAACTGGGCCCTGGGAGGTGCCGGGGGCTTCGAGGTTTTGTCTTCCCCTCCCCGTCCCACTCCGCGGGCAGGTGTCTGCGCCCCGAGATGCCCTCCACGGGTGTGCGGGACCCCCTTTCCCCGCTTCGCTCCTGATCTACGAAACTGGGGCCGTCCCAGAACAGCCTTTAGGAACAGGGGATTAATTCAGCCGATCATGCAATAAGCATGAATTGGGCGCCTGCTGTATGCAGGGGCTTGCGTTTAGCTGGGCTTTGGAGACCACACTTTCCAACCACTTTCCTGTCATCTAGACCAACCTGAATCTCTCATTCCTTCTTCCAAGTTTCCAGCAATAAGAGGAAAAATAACTAATGATAAGGTTAGCGAAGACCATTTGTTTATTGGAGCTCAGAAACGCCCCTTATTTAGAACAGGAGCTGCCATTCGCTGACGTGCCCCTCCTCTCCTCGCCGTGATTGGCTGAGGGGTGGGCTAGTGAGTCAGGCGGGGCCAATCATTGTGTCCCACTCAGAGTCCGTGAGAGCCTTTCCCTCAGTGTTTGCATCTGGATTTTGGGCGCAGGAGTCCTTTTGCCTGTGGCTGGTGGTGAGGCTGCGGAGGAGCAAGTCCAGAGCTCCCTGTGGCCACGGTCCCACCCCGGAGGGGAGCATGAAGCGGACCCGGGGAGAAGCAAAGAAGGAATGGCGTGCCCTGGTCGGTTTAGCTCAGTGAGTAGAGCGTCGGCCTGCGGACTGAAGGGTCCCGGGTTCGATTCCGGTCAAGGGCATGTACCTTGGTTGCGGGCACATCCCCAGTAAGGGGTGTGTAGGAGGCAGCTGATCGATGTTTCTCTCTCATCGATGTTTCTAACTCTCTATCCCTCTCCCTTCCTCTCTGTAAAAAATCAATAAAATATATTTTTTAAAAAGTTGCATGGGACACACTTATCCTGAAATACATATTTTTGCTGTTCATCTGAAATTCAGATTTAACTGAAGTCCTGTATTTCAGTCTGCTCAATCCGGTGACGCTCGTCCCAAAGACCCTTCTCTTCCGAGTCAGATGCTCTTCGTGACCTTGCAGGGGACTCCCTGGGCCTCTGGTTGTCCCACGCTGCAGCCCAGCAAAAGTCTTGGTAGTGACTTCAAATCTTCTGAGCTTTAGGAAGGACCCATAAACGCATGCTCAACCCCATGATCATCAGGGAAGTTCCAGTTAAAACGACAACATACCATTTCATATCTATCAGCTGGACAGACAGCATTGCCAACACTCCGACCTGTTGAGACCCCACCGTCTGGCGAGGGCGCTACTCCTCTAACCTGACCTCCTAACGCTCTCCCCCCTGCTCTCTCTGTTCCGGCCACACCTGCCTCTTTGCTGTTCCTTGGCCGCTGTGGCTGGTTCCTGCCTCGGGGCCTTTGTCTTACCTCCTCTTCTTCGGATCCTCTCTCCACAACAGCCACCTGGCCTTTGCCTCCTTCGCCTCAAGCCTTTTTCAAATGGCGTCTTCTTTCGAATTTCTTGTGAGTGTTGTTCTTAGTATTCCATTTTCCTCTGTATTTAAAAATAAGCTTCGTATTTGAGAATAGCTTTAGGTTACAGAACAGTTGCAAACATAGAACAGAGAGTTTCCACATACCCCACACCCGGCTTCCTCTGTTCTTGACTTTTTACATGAATACGGCACATTTGTTACCACCAGTGAACCGCGATTGAGACATTATTGTTAACCGACACCCATTTTTTAGTTTTTGTCCAACGTCCTTTTTCTGTTCCAGGGTTACGTCCGGATGTCACCTGACACTTCGTTACCACGTCACCTGGTCGCCCGTGGACTCTGACAGTTTCTCAGGCTTTCTTGTTCTGACGACCTTGGCGGTTCTGAGGAGAGCTGGTCAAGTGCTTTGTAGAGCAAGCATGTCAAACTCTCCGCCCACAACGAATATTTTTGCGGCCCAGCCAATAAAACGGTAAGAAATGTTTTAATAAAAATTTTGTAACTTCATTTTTACAATATCTTGTTATACATAATTATTAATAGCGAATGACAACGTTCGCTGATGACTGATTACTACAATCGTGTTGCATTCATTTCCCTTACGCGCCTTACGCGCAGGTACACCATTTCTCTCACTAATACCAGCAGTGAATATGTCAGCAGCCGATGGCCACGTCATTCGTCTTGGACTGACTTGTTTGGTGTGCGCAGCAGGAAATATTTCGCTTTCGGAGAACAAGAGAAATAGGTTTATTTGCATTACACTTATTAATGTGTACAGTGATTCAGTGTCTGGTAAGTTCATGTTCAAGAACAAATATTAATTTTTATTACAACATTCTATTATTTTAGGTTAACGATGACTCATTTGTTTCAGACCTTTGTCTTCAGCACGCCTCTATCGAAATAAACCTACGTTTCCATGAAGATTGAAGCTTTTGTTTTTTTGCGGCCCCACAGACACTTACACCTTGTTTATTTGGCCCGTTAGCCTTTGAGTTTGACACGCGTGTTGTAGAATGTCTCCCATGTGGTGTTTGTCTGATGCTTTTCTCCTGATTAGACTGGGATTATAGTTTTCAGGGGAAGACAGAGATAAGGTGTCGTTCTCATTGGGATATGAAGGGTACATCCCATCAACGTGACTTATCCCCATAGTGTTCACCTTGATCATTGTATTTATCAGACTTCTTCAGTGTAAGGTTACTCCGCCCTCACTGTACTACTCCCCCCACTGTGCTACTCCCCCACTGTGCTACTCCCCCACTGTGTTACTCCCACCACTGTACTACTCCCCTCACTGTACTACTCCCCCACTGTGCTACTCCCCCCACTGTGCTACTCCCCCCACTGTGCTACTCCCCCCACTGTTCTACTCCCCCCACTGTACTACTCCCCCCCTGTGCTACTCCCCCACTGTGCTACTCCACCACTGTTCTACTCCCACCACTGTACTACTCCCCCCACTGTACTACTCCCCCCCGTGCTACTCCCCCACTGTGCTACTCCCCACCACTGTGCTATTCCCCCACTGTGCTACTCCCCCCACTGTGCTACTCCCCCACTGTACTACTCCCCTCACTGTACTACTCCCCCACTGTGGTACTCCCCCCACTGTGCTACTCCCCTCACTGTACTACTCCCCCACTGTGCTACTCCCCTCACTGTACTACTCCCCCCACTGTACTACTCCCCCCACTGTGCTACTCCCACCATTGTGCTACTCCCCCCACTGTACTACTCCCCTCACTGTATTACTCCCCCCACTGTACCACTCTCCTCCCTGTACTACTCCCCCCCACTGTACTACTCCCCCCACTGTACTACTCCTTCCACTGTACTACTACGCACAGTCCACGCTTTAAAGTGGAGCATTGGGCTTCCTCTCCTTGAGAGAGTGCTGTCTGCATCAATTATTTGGAAATCCTCAGCACAGGAACTCTGTCTGTTCTCCCCCATTTGTTTACTTATTCAATCACTCCAATTTTTTTTTTAATCAGTGTGGGCTTGTGGATGTTTATTTTACGCTATGGGTTATAATCCAGTGCACAGTGTTTATTTTGTTGCTCAAATTGTTCCAGCTTTGACCGTGGGATACTCTTTCGGTTGGCTTCTGTATCGTTGGACACCCCCTCATCGTGTGTGTGCATGCGTGCGCGTGCGTGGTTTAGCACTTTCTTATTTTTCCAGCGCTATAAGATGTTCCAGACACGTCTTGTACATTTCCTGCTCCATTCCTAGAATCAATCATTTCTCCAAGGAGCCCTGGCTCCATTTGTTGGAGCATGATGTTAGAAATGAAGCACTGAGCCCAGCTGGTTTGGCTCAGTGGATAGAGCGTTGGCCTGTGGACTGAGGGGTCCCAGGTTTGATTCTGGTCAAGGGCACATGCCCGGGTTGTGGGCTTGATCCCCAGGAGGGGGTGTGCAGGAATCAGTCGATCAAATGATCCTCTCTCATCATGGATGTTTCTATCTCCCTTTCCCTCTCCCTCTCCCTTCCTCTCTGAAATCAATAAAAGTATTTTTTTTTTTTAAAGAAACTAAGCCCTGGGCTCTCTACTTTGCATTATGCTAGTATTTTAGTGATTGCTCTATGTACCTTTATTTTATTAAAACATTTAAAATTGCTATTTAGCCGAAACCAGTTTGGCTCAGTGGCTAGAGTGTCGGCCTGCGGACTGAAGGGTCCCAGATTCGATTCCGGTCAAGGGCATGTACCTGGGTTGCGGGCACTTCCCCAGTGGGGGATGTGCAGGAGGCAGCTGATCGATGTTTCTCTCTCATCAATGTTTCTAACTCTCTATCTCTCTCTCTTCTCTCTGTAAAAAATCAATAAAATATATTTAAAAAAAATAAAAAAAATAAAATTGCTATTTAGAGAGAGGGAGGGGGAAAGAAAGAGAGAGAGAGAGAGAGAGAGAGAGAGAGAGAAAGAAAAACAATGATGTAAGAGAGAAACATTGATTGGTTGCCTCCAACCGGAGATTGAACCTGCTACCTTTTGGTGTATAGGATGATGAGCCAACCAGCTGAGCCATCTGGCCAGGCTGAGTTGTTGCTTTTGAAGATATCATTCTTTGTGCTGTCGTGATGCAGCATTTCTTAAAAGTTTTCTGTTTCTGTCTCCAGGATTTTCTTTTGAGCTGTCCTCACCCGCTGCACACGTCTTAAGGTACTTGGCCGGCCAATGGCACGTCCAGGTTGCCCGGCAGTGGTCGAAGAGGAAGTCTGCATTCAGATACGCTGAAAGGAGGAGCTGAGAACAGACTGACTATGCATTACTTCCCATATCCGATATAATAAAAGGCCAATATGCAAATCGACTGAACAGCAGAATGACCGGTCGCTGTGACACACACTGACCACAAGAGGGCAGGCGCTCAATGCAGGAGCTGCCCCCTGGTGGTCAGTGCGCTCCCACAGGGGGAGCGCTGCTAAGCCAGAAGCTGGGCTCCATGGGGAGCGGGCCTAAGCCAGCAGTTGGACATCCCCCGAAGGCTCCTGGACTGCAAGAGGGCGCAGGCCAGGCTGAGGGACCCCCCTGAGTGCACAAATTTCATGCACCAGGCCTCTAGTGTTTATATATAATTCTTTTCTGAAGCTCTTGAGAATCAGCCGCAGACCAAATGCCACTTCACCTCTGGACTTCAATGTGAATTTCCTAGAACAAAGGCGCTCATCTAGGAAACCACAATACAGTGATCACTATCAGGACATTTCATGCTGATACAATTATTTAATCTATGGACGTCATCAAAGTTTGCCCATTGTCCCAATCATGTCCTTTACAGAAAACAACAGCAAAAGAGTTTTATGTTTGCCCTAGCTGGTTTGGCTCACTGGATAGAGCATCGGCCTGGGGACTGAAGGGTCCCAGGTTCGATTCCAGTCAAGGGCATGTACCTTGGTTGCAGGCACATCCCCAGTAGGGGGTGTGCAGGAGGCAGCTGATCGATGCTTCTCTCTCATTGATGTTTCTAGCTCTCTATCCCTCTCCCTTCCTCTCTGTATAAAATATATTAAAAAAAAAATGAGTTTTATGTTTGTTTGGCCACCCAGCGGGGATCACATTTTCGCAGTCCTATTGCTTTAGTTCCGTCTTTCTTCTGTCGACCACATGGACATTTTGGGAAATTTCATGTTGGTTATTTGTACAATGTCTGTCAAGTTGGGTTTGTCTGACGTTTTCTCGTGACTAGGTTCGGGTGATACCTTTTTAACTTTAAAAAGGTGATGTCACAGCAGGAATCCTGTGTCTCCTCAGAAGGTAGACCTGCAGTTTGTCCCATTCCTGGCGATGGCAGGGCTTCGCGCTGTGACATGACTTTTTCATTTTGTGACAATAAGTCATCGGTGGGAAGACACTCCAGCACCAGGTCAGTTCTCACCCGACCTTCGCCCGCTTGCTTCGGGTGACTTCATTTTCGCACAGATTGCCGCCAGAACCCTCCGGTCTGAACGACGGTGTCCTCAGAGGCACGGAACTCTCTCTCTCTTTTTTTAATGAGCAGATTTGTGTGTGTGTGTGTGTTTTTTTTATAAAAAATATATATTTATTGATTGATTGATTTCAGAGAGGAAGGGAGAGGGGGAGAGAGAGAGAAACATCAATGATGAGAGAGAGGCATTGCTCTGCCGTCTCCTGCACGCCCCCGCTTGGGGATGGAGCCCGCAGCCTGGGCCTGTGCCCTGACCGAGAACCTTACCGTGACCCTTACCGTGACCTCCTGCATCTCAGGCTGATGCTCACCCACCCAGCCACGCCGGCCGGGCAGGGGCACGAGCTCTTCAGAGGAGGGGGCGATCTGTCTTTATACAAATCATAACCCTCACCTTATCTTTCCCCCGGAAATGGAGGACGGCCTAACCTCAATTCTGTCACTGGCCCTGTCCCCCCACAGCAAGGGCAGGGACCACATTTAGCGAAGACGCTTCCGCGGGTCCCCATTCGCGTCTGTGGCCATGAGGCTGCGGTGCCTGGGGCTCTGCACAGGTGTCTGCTGCTGCTTCTCCCTCCTGGAAAGGGGGTCCCGGAGCCAGCCCCCCAGAGGGGGTGGCTTTGTGCTCAGCGGGCTCCTTGCGGGGGTCGTGCTGGGGTGCGCTGATGTGGTTTATTCTACCCGCCTGGTGACACCCCTGCTTGTGGATGGCGCTGATGGGGACAGGGACCGTGAGCCTGTCTGAGCCAGTAGCGGCTTGCGTCCCCACAGGGGCAGGTGGAAGCTCCGCGCGGATGGAAATGGGGGCCGGCCACAGCGGCCCGAGGCGCCCACCAGCAACACCGGTGCTGGCTCTTGCTCTGGGTCCTGCTCTGGCATCACCTGGCGCCTCAGGCCTCACCTGACCCCCACTGATTCCCGTTTTACAAATGAGGAAACAGCTGGCGTGGCTCCGTGGTTGAGCGTCGGCCTATGAACCAGGAGGTCACGGTTCGATTCAGGTCAGGGCACATGCCCAGGTGTGGGCTCCATCCCCAATGTGGGGCGTGCAGGAGGCAGCCGATCCATGATTCTCTCTCATCATGGATGTTTCTCTCTCTCTCTCCTTCTCCCTTCCTCTCTGAAATCAATAAAAATATGTTAACAAACAAAACAAAACAAATGCGAGGAAACTGAGGTTGCAATGGACAGGGGTGCACAGAGTGGGCAAGCTGGGACTCGGCACCTCCCTGCGGCCCCACAGGCGGCGATCTTGACCTTGACGCTATTTGCCTCCAGCATCACCCACTGAGTTATCTGGGGGGAGAGGGGGACGGGGACTTTGGTAAATCATTCAACAAACGCAGATCCAGGCCCCCTGGATCCTTGAACGTCCCCCCAAAGAGAGACTCTTTGCCCAAATGACACTTTTTGTCTCCAAAACATTTCTTAGATCCTTGGCCTCTTACAGCTGCAAGGCCAAGGCTACGCAGGGTCTTCCACCTCCCGTCGCCCCCCAGGGACACCCCCTCCTCCCAGAGAGCGGGCCAGGAGAGAGGGGCCCAGGGCGACATCCCACTGCACCCCCCGCTGCCTTTAGGAGGACGGCAGGTTTCATTTCCCCACAGGCCACGCGCTGTCTCGCACCCCACGTGGCCTTCCGGAGCCTCGCTGCTCCTGCACCCGGGGGTGGGGTCTGCGTCCCCTTCTCCGGAACCTGAGTGGGCCTCAGTGAGCAGAGCGGACGTGAACAACGCCATGCCCTCTTCTGTGCCGCTCTCCTGGCCGCTTTGCTTGCTCTGAGCCGCCCGCCGCCATGCCGTGAGGAAGGTCCGGCGGCCGGAGGAAAGGCCCGCGTGGAGGGGACATGAGGCCTCAAGCCGCAGCGCCAGCGGAGCCCCGGGAAGACAGCCTGCGGGGTGGCCGTCCTGCAAGCGGAATCCGGTGCCGTCCAGCGGGCTCCACGCGGAGCCTTCTCCATGGTGTAGATTTGCGAGCAAGAGAAAGAATTTTTTAAAAATATATTTTATTGATTTTTTACAGGGAGGAAGGGAGAGGGATGGAGAGTTAGAAACATCGATGAGAGAGAAACATCGATCAGCCGCCTCCTGCACGCCTCCTACTGGGGATATGCCCACAACCAAGGTACATGCCCTTGACCGGAGTTGAACCTGGGACCTTTAAGTCCGCAGGCCGACGCTCTATCCACTGAGCCAAACCGGTTAGTGCCGGGAGCCGGTCCATCCTTGCTGTTTCGGGGCACCTGGCATATGTGGCATGCTGTTCTTGATGTGTTTGCTCACCTTCTTGGCGCTGTGTTTTAGCCAAGGTCACCTCTCCGAGAAAGGTTGAATCCCCAGGTAGGGATTTTCCCCTGAAGTTAGGGAGGGAATAAAACCTCTTAACTAAGTGCCAGGCGGGTAATTAATCATTTTAACTATGAACAATCATGCTTAAGCTACATAATCTTTACTCCCTGGAATGGAGATAAGAAACGCCCTAACCTTTGAAATAGAGATTGATAGGATTGGAATCAACTGGTATAAATACAGATGTAAGAAGACAGAACCGAGAGAGACAGAACCTAGGCACAGAACCTACACAGAACATTCTCTAGAGACAGAAGAACTTCGCTGGAGAGAACATGGCAAAAGATCCTGGACTGAACCTGACTACAGAAATTGGCAAGAGAACCTGACTAGAACCTGGTAACTGAACCTGGCTGGAGAACCTAGCGAGGGAACATGGCTACAGAACCTGGCTGGAGAACCTAGCAAGAAAACATGGACACAGACCCTGGCAGGAGATCCTAAGCAGAACCTCTCTGGAGATCCAGACCAGAACTTGGCTGGAGATCCTGGCTAGAGATCCTGGCTAGGCTGCTGATCAACTGAACTCCGTCTCCTTGTCATTCCTTCTTCGCCGACTCCATCCACACCTTTGGGGACCCCTGGACCTGCTGGGGTTGGACTCCGGCAGGTTAGGGTGAGAAATAATTTTTTAAAAATATATTTTTATTGATTCCAGAGAGGAAGGGAGAGGGAGAGAGTTAGAAACATCCATGATGAGAGAGAATCATGGATCGGCTGCCTCCTGCACGCCCCCCACTGGGGATCGAGCCCACAACCTGGGCATGTGCCCTTGACTGGAATCGAACCCGGGACCCTTCAGTTCGCAGGCCGACACTCTATCCACTGAGCCAAACTGGCTAGGGCAGAAATAATTGTTTTAAGCTCCCAGGTTTTGGGGGTGATTTGTTATGCCACAAGAGATAGCTGGAACAAAAAAGAAGCAGCTAATTGGCTGTTATCTGGGCCCAGAAAGCACGTTCTGTGCAGAATCAGGCGCACACACCCATCCAAAGCCTGTCTTTTGTCCTGAGCAGTGTGATGGAGAAGAGTGAAGCTTGGAGCCAGGCAGGTGTGAGTGCATAGCCTGCTCCCAGGACTTGCCACCTGTGTGACCTTGGGGAATTTCATGGGCTCTCCGAGCCGCAGTCTCTTCCTCTGTGAAAGAGGCACAAGAATAAGTTTTCTCCAGGAGGACTTGGTGAGCTTATACATCCAAAGTGCTTACCCAAGAACATAACTCATAACAAGAGCTCTGATTCACCAGGACTTTGGTGAGCTGGATGTTGGAAGCCTCTGGCTGACAAACCCAACTGGTACTGGATAGTCTCTGATTTATTTATTTTAAAATATGTTTTAATTGATTTTAGAGAGGAAGGGTTAGGGAGAGAGAGAGAAACATCAATGATGAGAGAGAATCATTGATCAGCTGCATCCTGCACGCCCCCTACTGGGGATCAAGCCTGTAACTCGGGCATGTACCCTTGACTAGGAATCGAACCCTGACCTCCTGGTTCATAGGTCGATGCTCAATCACTGAGCTTCGCCGGCTGGGCTTATTTATTATTATTATTTTGTTGTTGTTGTTAATCCTCACGTGAGGATATTTTTCCCATTA